ATAGAACACCAGGATATTATTTTCTGTTTTCCCAACACTGACTAAAGCAATAACACTATTATTACATTTTTTGATTTAGCAGTCAAATTGTTTAAATATAAATATTTACTAAGAAATTATTCATATATTAAGAGCAAAAGCTTAAATAAATGATACAAAAAACTATAAAAAGGATTTGATTTTTAACTTAATACCAATAATTTTATAACACACTTTTAAACATGTCTAAGGAATTGTTTATGTCATAATTTAGGATTTAATCAACAAAGAAAATATATTATTTGAAATTTAGTTATATATAAATTTAATTGGAATAGCTATAGGTATCTATTTGTTTCAATTGAACATGGTTTAACATAATGTGTCGCCATCATACTTCAAACTTGTTGAATAAGTTAATTAAACAGTTAACAAGAAATAATTAAATGAAACCAAAACAATTTAATAAACATTATCAACTGAGAAAATGTTGACAACCATGCAATAGGTATCCTTAAATCTAACAATATCTATTTCTAGAAATTGAATATAACACTTTTTATTGACAGGTATTACTCTACATTGAATAATCATTATCTACATATTATCTGAATTTATTGAATTTAAAATACTTTCTCCCAGATCTTTTTTAAGTACATTATAACTATAACAGTAATAATAGAATACATAACTGCAAGGAAATATAACAACTTATGTATGATTATTAATTTAGTATATGAATGTGGACAGCACAAATAACTGTATTTACATAAAATGAACACTGGGAAATATATCTCTTATGATACAAAATGGTCGAGATAGATATGTCCTTTAACTGTATAACTTAAAAGAACATCTACCCATATGCATTGTCTCTGTATTACTAATACATAATATTATATTAAAATGTATACCCAGAAATTCTAATTTTGTGATATTAGCTTAAATATAAGAAATAATTGACCTTTTACTAAACTTAAATGTAAGAACATTATCAGTGTTATAAAGTTGGTTTTTATAATATTTAAATTTTTAGATGAATTATGAGAATTTTATACACTTAAGGAGGCTCCAAGGCATCATGTTTTTAAGACTAATATTTAGACATTAGACAATGCATATGATATGTACATTTGTCTCTATATGTGAGTAGTAAATGAACATTAGCATGTTTATGAGAATTGCTCTCAGCCACATCAGGGAACTTTCAATGCGTATGTCAACACATCACAAAAAAAATTATGAAATATATTCTTGTTTACATAACTACGGTAATTACTAAAAGCGGTAGTAAATTAGACACATTTCCTGAAGTCTGAATTTCATAAATGATTTAATTAATAGATTTTTAGATTAAGCTCTTTAGGAATCGCTTTTTTAATTTAAAATCAGATGTCCTCAAGATAAATAAAATATACTACATAATTTTATGAAGGTTTTTGAAAAAGATATCTTAATTTTAAGGTCCATTAAAACTGAAAATTTAAAACCACTTCCTAAAAAAACTGGATATTTTATCAACAAATTCATACATAGTTTATTGAAAATTAAAATCAGACATTCCAAAATATGTGTAATTTACAACCACATATTTGTTTAAAACATATGTGAGCTTTGATTCTCTATTAACATATATATATAAAAAAAAACAACGAGGGAACTCAGATATTGATCTTATATTTATGTTTAATAATAGGCCACTCTAATATTTAAGCTAACAATACAATATAGGTTAGGTACAATATAACTATTGAACGTACATGTTAATATATGAAGTGTAAATAAGACATATTATGCAGATATGACATCAAACGATAAAATAAAATAATTTGATAATGAAAATCATAGAAAACAAATTTTTACTTACCTAACTGCATATTTGATTCTGTATCTGCTGGTGGGCTTGGCACAGGTCCAGTGGCCGTGAATGCAGTGCTTAATATATCAGCAAAACTATGGGTTTCTTGGCCATTAGAAACATCATCAGGAACATCACTATCTGCTGGTAATTTTGTGTTTGGCCAATTATCGCCGTGATCAGTGGTTGCAGTACTAGTTTCACTCAACTGGTCTGCCATTGATAAAAATGAATTGAGCAGACAGGACAAGGGATACTTAATTGATTAAATGGAAATTAAAAACAAAAAGGTCTTCTAGGATTGAAAATTAAGCTTCAAAGACAACAATTCATTCAAGAATTTTAGAAATTATCACAAAATGTTAAAAACCGGGTCAGGAAACTCATCACCAATTCATTTCACCCTAGAAACAAAACAACAATAATTAGAAATAAAACTCATTTAAAATTATAAAATCGGTGCTTCAAAGCGTTAAAATATTTTCTTATGCATAATGCTTAARAGCATAATAATTAATATTAATGACTACATTTAATATAAAACAAATGAATACTATTTCACAAGATTCTTAAGTTTTATCTATACTTAGCTCTAAACCTTTTTTTATCCTACAAGTATACATTTTTAGATATACCTAACAAAAATCATATAGTATATCATATATAAGACTTTTTGAAAGAATAAGTACCTACCTATTGGAAAATACTGAGGAGAGCTTTAAATACATAATCTCATCAACAAACTTCATGCCACCTGTTGATAGTTGATTATTTACTTCAAAATAAATCAATAATACAACATTCTTAATGCTAATAAAATATAATGTGGGAACATGTCATAATTTTACTCGATAAAATTAATAAATTTTAGACACAAGTATCAAATGAGTTATAATACAACTTAATACCCCAAAAAAACTATTTTTAATAATATATTTAATTAGATAATGTAATAAAAATTGCTTTGTTAAATTTTAATTTAAAGTATTATCACAGTCTATTGCAGTATATTTGTATTAAATAATTATTATCAATAATAAAAAGAGAAAAAATTACATTTTAAATTCATTCAGTAGAAGCTGATAGATAATTTACTTATTTTACATTGGTACCTATTTGAATAATAATTTGTGGTTACACGACTTATTTTGTTTACTCATAGCTGTAATTCATTAATAGGATATTTTATATTTATAAAATACGTAAATATTTCTAAAGCAATATTGGCTACAAGTTCAATTAATATTTAAACAAAAATATTCATAGATGGCAATATTTAATGAATGATAAATTACATACATAAAACTAGGGATGGGCATGAAATCTGAACATCTAAATTATCTGAATATCCAAAACTGGGTTGAATCAAATTCTTATCAGGATTTCCTAAATTATCTAGATTTGCTTTTTATGCAATTTAACTAATTTAAGACAAATTATTTTTAATGTATGGTAAAATTAATTATTTTATTTTATTATATTGAGAATTTAATAATAAATGAATACTAAAGTTTTATATCACTGGTGCTTAAAATGTGTTTGAAATTTGGTATATCTATGTCAGAAATTCATGTTATAGAATTAAAATATTAATAGTATATAAAAATGAGTCATTGAACACCAAATTCAAGTTGAATATTTCAGATACTCAGTGAAATCCAAATTTTCAAAATCTTAATAATTGAGATTTTTAAAATCCTGATATGCCCACCACTACGTAATACACAATATTTTTTAGAAGTTGAACAAATAAATATAAAATAGGTGCAATAATTACAAACAAGATAAAAATATGAAATAAAAATTATCTTACAATTTTAAAATCAGTAAGCTACAACTCCAATTTCAAACGTATAATAATCTGCATACTAACACAAGTGGAACAATGCATAGGTACAGTATAATATCTATGTCTACACTTGTATGCAAAAATTCCATTTGATAAGAATATTTTGTACATATTGTATGATGTAAGTAGGATTTGGGGTAGAATATTTGATCATTTGATGTACTAACATTGTACTACTTTTAAAAATGAATTATAAATATTAAAAAAATATATGGACAAATTAGTAAAAACAAAGTATGTAGGCATTCAGAAATATAGGCAATTTATTAATTAAAATGCATTAACATACCTTGACATTATGTTGTCGTAGTTAAGCAGTTATTGTGGGACACAAGACAAGTGTATGAAGAGAATAAAACGGAGATTTTCGATGAGCAACAACAAGTGACTGTCGTTGTGAAGGAAAGGGGTGACAAAAAAATAATAAAGCGTCGCTCAGGAAGTTTGAACGGGGCGACAATCTACAACGAACATGACGGCGGAAAAGCAGAATCGCAAGTGTCGCGTCCGCCAAAACGACGACAGACTGCGATGATTACCGTTAATGTAGTTACGCATCCGTCTGTCGGGGAACGGCGAATTATAATATTTTTACCCTCGATCCCGATGGTTACGAAATCCCAGGCGATACGTGTAGCGCAATTCGAACACAACAGCGACGCGCTTGTTCGTCCTGGTTTTTCGATTCAGTTCCGTCCAACTGACGCAACAACGATTAGGTATTATCTATTTTACCTTTTCGACACGTCCGCGTCCATCCTGTGGAATACGGCAGCCCGATCGCTTCCGTGTGTGTATTGTTGGTGTTGAAAAACAAAAGAAAGATAATGACAGAGAGAGTGAGATAGAGTGAGAGAGAAAGAGAGTGCGGTGCAGATAGGACCGACCGAATTCAAGAAGAGATAATTTTWAACTTATTGGTATGGCTCATTTTTTATCTGTTTTTGTCAAGAAAAACAAAATAACATTTCACGAACGCAGGAAAAAAAACAACACCAGCCAGAAGCACGACTGATGATGTGGGAATCCGACCGCAGTGGTAATCGGGTGTGTTGGGGCACCGATGTACCGAACTACCGAACGCGAACGTAGCACGGTCGGTGTAGTACGCGTACTATGCGTATGGCGTATCGTGGAAACGCCATTTTGCGTAATACCATATGGACGTGTGAACCCAGTGCCGCCAACAATGACTGGAACTGGCTGGTAGGTTGCCTTTCACCGATAAGTGATAACAGCAATCTCTGCACATTATCAATGCCTCATCCGTTTATTTTACCGCCAAACTTTCCCTTATCTGTCTATGGTTTTAAACGGTCCTCTCTTCTTCCTTCATCACTATATAATTTTTTATTACATTTTTTCAGTAGTTACYATACTTGCTAGTTTACTACTTAGTACTTACTAGTTACTAGTTAGTACGCTGTACGCTAGTCCTAGTTCAGTCTTTAAGCTTTCACTGTAAGTTAATTTCGTACGTTCTCGCAATATTCCTCTATTTATAATTTTTTATTTAGTTTATACTCACTAGTCATAGGTCGTTCTCTGATATATAGAGATACTGTTGCAGTACTGCGGTTCATCAATATTTTATCTGCGACCACAGACACCGATTCCTGGACGTCTATTAAGAATTAGACATCTTGAACATAAATATACATTTCTCTATCTACTGCTGTTTATTGTAAACAAAATCAGGCGTTGTAGAAAAGAGTAATTAACAACCACTTACCTATTTATTTATTCTGTTAAGTTAGTAATTTCGTTAAATTCTCAATAGGTACAGAGGTATATTTTTAAGCATTTAGTTGAAAGAATATTTTTCAAACATTTTAAAAGATTGAAAGTAGCCTAGGTACTCAGTACAGTTAAATAAATTATCTATATTCTTAAGAATATGCTTTAGGTACTTACATTTGTTGTTATTGTCTCGATCTATTATATTTACCAAATCAACCTAATTTTATTATTATTATATATTTTGTCTATGTTACTAATTGTTGCATGCTTATTAAATCACAATCTACCTATATTAATTTTTGCAATAATTCTGTTTGCCCTAACATTAAATCAAATTTATTTTTAGACTATGGGAATCAATTTTGATTTTTGTATTCAGAATATAAAAAAAAAACTTATTTTGAATGACCAACTATATGGATTTGACAAAGAACAAAATGAACTCTTACAGATTATTAAAAAAACTACTGATTTTGGAGAAAGTGACTCAGCGATTATTCTTGGACCTCGTGGATGTGGAAAATCAATGGTGTGTTTTTTCTATTAAAATATTATATAATAATTTTKTTATTATTTTGTCACGATGGTGAAGTTAGGATTTAGTTAAAAGTTATGGCTGTTGAAAATTTAGTAATGGCACCTGGCTAATAGTGTACTGTTGTTTAATTAATTATAATTGCTTTTACCTGAGCAATTGATCAATAAATACTGTAGCATTTTGTATCAATAAATACAGTTTTGAATTAGAACTTATTACATAAAATCATTAATCATATGGTCATAACTTATAAGTTATAATATAATTTATCAATCAAAATATATATAATATAATAATATGATAAAGACTATTAAAAGTGAGTTAAGCAAAATAGAACCTTGTAAAAGTATATAAAAATTAAAAATCATAGAATTTGAAACATCATTAGGCTATAACTTCAAAACTCAGTTTAACCGACTAATTCTGACTTCACTATCGTTTTTAGTATAACTAATTACATAAGTTTCTTAATTTATTAAAATACAATCGTACATATTGCACATATTCATTTATGAATTTAAATTTACATTTATAGTTAATGGACTCGGTTATTAAATCTCTTTCACCTGATTCACATACACTTGTATTATTAAACGGTCTCATTCATACTGATGATAATTTAGCACTTAAAAGTATTATACAACAACTCCAAATGGAAAATTTGGATGGGACTTTTGCTGAAGGATCTTATGCTGGTTTGTATTTTTAAAAATATTTTCAACATTAGCCATTGCTGTATTGATAAACATGCCTATTCTCTATCTTATTCAAGAAAAACCTCAGATAATGTAGTTATGTACATGGCTGATGATCAGAAACAAAATCTGACTGGGTAAATTGATGAAAACCAAAGGGTGTAGTCTAAACCTAATAAAATTCAATTGTTGACTTAGGTAACTCTTGTATGAGACCAAGTATCAATAAGACATTAACTAAAATGTTATCTAAGAGGATGTGAAACCTGCATGTGTTGTCTCAGTCTTACAAGTGTGTAACATAGCAAATTTAACACTCATCAGATCACGTTTAGCTCTGTTGGTTTATAAATTAGAGTTGATTCACCTTTTATAAAATTTAAAGGTAAAAATATTATTTCGACAACCTCAATGGCTTTTTACTATATTTTGATTTTGAAGCAAGTTATAAGAGTTATATTTTAAAATGTTAAAAAATTTATAATTTTAAAAAACTTGTAACTCACTTCAAAATTAAAATAAAGTAAAAAGCCCATGAGGTCGTCGAAATAATATTTTTATCTTTAAATTTTATTAAAGGTCAATCCACTCTAATTTTTAAACTAACAGCTAAACATGATCTGCTGAGCGTAAAATTTGGTATGTTACACACTTGTTAGACAGAGACAACACATCATGAGGGTATCATGTTCTCTTAATACCTTACCATTATAACCCCAAACTCAAAAGAAATTTTATTAATTTCAATTTTAAAGCTATATTCCTCGATAAAAATAATATTTATTAAAATTTAATGTGCAATTTGACGTTGTTTCAAGCCCCAGTTAACTTTACCATCAATTCTTTCCTTAATAAAAAATAAATCCACAGACTTCCTCTGCTATAATAACAACCGTGTTATTGCCACAATGTAATAAAATGTATTCTAAAAAACTTGTTAAATTTTATATAAAATATAATCAAACTGATGTGMCTCAATTTAGTGTAAATTACCTTTTCTAGTCAGTACTTGTATTTTTTTAACCTCAAATTTTAATTTTTTATTATTTAAATCAAACAATTTAACTTTTAAGTAATGCTATAATTCTAATATCGATGATTTTTGTAGATAATATTAGTTTTTTATTGGAGAGCTTCCGTGCAGGAAACAAAACAGCTTCAAAATCAATTATTATGGTATTAGATCAATTTGATATGTTTTGTTCTCATACTAATCAAACATTATTGTATAATTTGTTTGATTCTGTTCAATCTCAACAGGTAAATTACTTAATGATATAGATRTAAATGTAGTATTTAAAATATTTTTCTGTATTTTAGAATCCATTGTGTATTATTGGCTTAACATCACGTATTGATGTTATTGAATTACTTGAAAAACGAGTCAAATCTAGGTTTTCCCATAACATAATGATGTTGAAACCTCTATCTGAAACTAGTCAATTATTAGAAAGATTTAAACATTATCTTACAATCAACAAACATTGTAATTTAAAAGCCGATGTTTTGAAAAACTGGAACAATAATATTGAATCATTAATATCAGATGTAAGAATACAAAATTTGATTAAGGATCTTTTAAAATCAAGCAACAACAGTGCAAAATTTAATCAGCTAATTGTAGGTATCAAAATTATTAAGTTTTATTGAAAAGTTTAATGTGTAATTTTTTTTAGTTTATGTCACTTTCAAATTTATCAAATGATAGAATATTGACTGTTGAAAATTTAACAAATACCTATTCTACATTATTTAAAAAAGATATGATTCTTGTCAATTTATTAGGTAATTATTTTTACCACATTAAGATTAAAAAACATATTATGAGTCTTTTTTCACAGGGCTATCAGTTCTCGAACTTTGTTTAGTGATTTCAATTTGCCATCACTCAGAAATCTATGATCAAGAACCATTTAATTTTGAAATGATTTATGACCGTTATTGTAAATTTGCATCACGAAATTCTACATTACTTGTAACAAAAAGACAAGTTATTATAAAAGCTTTTGAAAGAATATCTGTTAGTTTTATTTATATTTTATATTTTCTATAAATATGTTATTCAATCATGTTTATAAATTTAGGTAATGCAATTAATACTACCTGCAGTAGTTATAGAAAATAAAAATGTTTTAAGAGAATATCGGCTATACAAGTGTTCAGTGAATCTGGATAAAGTGAAGACAGCTTCTAATATATATTTCAGACTACCTCCAGTTATTTTGCAATGGATAGATAGTAATATAATTTAAATAAGTAAATAATTTTTTATTGTAAATGTATGTAATATGCTGCTCAGTAAATACATATGATTCTTTAGTAGAAATTAATTATYGGATGAATGTATATTGAAATGTTTTAATGGTTTTATTATTACTATCAGTAATTATAAGTATTTAACTATAAGTTTATTTTATTGTTAAACATTAAATAAAGAATGGCCATTATATTTGTAAMTGACAGTGTCATTTAGATATTTGAATATGTTAAAAGGATACCACTAAAAACTAATTCAACTTTGTTATTAAACTATGATATCTTTTATCTAATAACCAACTAACATAAAAATATGATAAACTATTAAATTTAAAACAAATAAAACAATGAGGTTAATCCAATTTTTTTGATACTGTGTGTTTTGTTTTTAATTAATTTCTAGATAGTTAAGACTGTCACTTAATTCACCAAACTTAATAAATATACTCGTTATTCATTTAAAAAATATTATATATTTTCTTTTACAATAATTCTTGTATTTTACCTTTTACCAGTTGTACTCATACACCAATAATTTTCAACATTGATGAAATGTGGTTTCCCATAAAAAAATCAGATCTTATTGGTACTTTATGGTTATAAAGTAAAGAAGTCTTATACTTTTTAAAAATCAACGATAATAGCAAAARGTTGTTGTTAAATGCTACCTACATTGATTCATAGGTCTGYGTACACCCCTCTGAGTCAGGTATACCCTCATGCGTTGTCTCCGTCTTACAACTGCATAACAGCAATTTTTACAAAATACGTATAGTTCTGTAAGTTTAAAATTTAAAGTGGATTGACTTCTTATGAAGATTAAAGGTAAAATTATTATCGAGGGCTTCTCTTGAGTTTTTTATTATATTTTAATTTTAAAGCAAGTTATGAGTATTTTAAGATACACAAACAATTYACACTTTTAAAATACTCATAACTCGCTTTAAAATTTAAATATAATAAAAAACCCTCAATAATATTGTWACCTTTAAACTTTATAAGAGATCAATCAGTTCACTCTAAATTTTAAATTAACAGAGCTACACGTGTTCTGCTGAATGTAAAAAATTACTATAATATTATGCACTTATAAGACGGAGACAGCACATACGGGTATCACACTATCACGTCCTCTCATTACAATAATTTAATGTTTTTATATCAGGAATTTCTATATTATTTTCAATTCACTCATATTTATGTAACTAATTACATTAATCGTGTTAGTATGATTTTGATTTATTTTGTTAACAATTTTCTAAGGCTATAATGACTTTTTACTTTCTAATTTCTATATAGTCTCTCGGGTAAACACAAATGTTCAAAAACTAAAGAGCTATACCTATTTTTAGTCATAACTTCATAAGGCACCGAATAAGTACCCACCCAAGTATAAAAAAAAGCTCAGTTGGGACTAAAGCCCGATCAGCCCTACCTATGCACAAGCCTATGAACATTTTTTATATTAAATTATATTGAAACATATAGTAACAATATATTTGTAATTTTCCTAAAAATAATAATCTTGATAATTTGTAAAGTTATTAAAATTATTCTTAACCCAAAAAATGATAATCTATATGAGTTCAATAATTAATCATTATTCAGCGGCCACCTTAACTATAAGATAGCTATTAAAAGTTGAAATAATTAACTAGGTTAACAAATAAAATCCAAATAGGGAGGAGAAYAATGATTTTGCCCATAGTCGGAAAATGCGTTGCAAAAATCAAAAAAGAAATATATACTGGAGAATGCAGCCTAATCTGAAAGTGAATTGTTTAAGTTGACTGTTATATTTTTATATTTTGCTTCTTATGCATTTAACTGTGGCTTCTATGTTCCCCATGTCAAATCATTTTGATTTATTAAACTTTAATAATTAGTTTACAATACATCTTGAAACATTTTTCATTTTCATCTCTTGGAAATTTTCCACTCACCATACTTAACTCCTAAACCTATTTCCCCCATTCTTTTTGTATCCCGCAGTTTCATATTTCCTTCTCTAACAATCTACCTCCCACTCCCACCGCATCCTCTTTCACAGCTGAATGCTTCGCTATAATTGAAGCACTCAACACAATCTCATCCTTACCTCCAAATAAATATCTCATCGCCACCGACTCTCTGTTCTGTCTTCAAGCCCTCTCCCCTAACGTTTTCAAATCACATCTCTCTCCTCTCATAATCACTATCAGACATATTTTATTCTCCCTTACGGAATCTGGCTCGGACATTCAATTCATATGGGTACCAGCTAGGCCACACTGGAATTGCGGGAAACGAATTTACTGACAAACTAGCCAAATCCTCTGCTTCCCTCAGATGCCTTTCAAGTACGAAAATTCCATGGTCTGATTTTATCCCAATTGACCCAATTCTCACGGAATGTCATGTACATCCATAAAACAATAGGTATTGGACCAATACTATTGGTACGTCTGATCTTTGGGTTAAACACTCCCTCCTTACTTTGCCACCAGGTACAGAATGATATCTTCAACCATACCAACACTACCATGGTTTCATTTTCATAACCTCCATCTTTCTCGTAAATGCATAACATCGTTCTCCCGCCTCCGGTTTGGACACACACGTCTTCCTTCTCATTGGTATTAAATTAAGGTCTAATTTTGTCCAAATTTGAACTTAAAAATATATTTTTATAGTAATTATACTGAAATCACGGATCTTGCATGTTCTATGGTATTCTGAAAATTATATTTCGGCGCGGAGCGATGAATGTATTGATTTTACCATGATGTGTGTTTTTTTTTTTGTGTCTGTCATCACGTTTTGGGGCAGTAAAAATGCTTCGATTTTTGACTTCAGTACCTCGTTCGATCAGAAAGTGAATCTAGTTGGTACTTTGGGGGGATCAAAAGTAAAATACGTCTTAATACTTTTCTAAATAATCGAGGAAAACAAACTAAAAATTAAGGTAAAAACGCAAAACAAACATTTTGAATAAAAGAAAGGAAGCCATTTGAATTAGTTTCAAAAACGTACCAATCATAATAATTTACAAAAATATAATGGGAATGACAAACTTGCATACAACAATTATAATAATACCACTGCTCTATAACTATCATACTTAAAAACGAATAGAAATGTACTCTTTTGGCTTCACGGGGTTTCAAACGATAAATCACTATTATAC